TCTCTGTACCGTTCCAATTTTAACAGATGTCCCGAAGGACATGTAGTGATCTTTTATCCTACTCACAGGAGGTGTTTGACAACAGGAGGGATTCTGAATTCGCTGTAACCAGTACAGCATCCATAAGATATTTCCAGAATGCTGGCCAAGCTTCCGCAAGTCGAGGTAGCGAATCCAGAATCCTTCCTCTTGACAACCACCTCCTGGCCACAGTCCAATTGACATCAACTTGCGGTGTAGAGAGGAGGTACCATAGTTTGCTGGAGTAAGGGCGTAGTATGTCCTGAGGGCATACTCACACTGGGACCTATAATCCCAACCCCCCCCCAAAAAAAGTGTAGCGGGCCGATCACACAGATTTGCTTTAAGTACCAAATGTACTGTTGGTGTGCCCATTTGTGAGCGACCTGGGAAGCCGCGGGGCAAGGGATTTTGCAGTCGCCTCTGGAGGTGACAGCAAATGCCCAATTTATTTTTTCATGTTTTCTCCAAAAAATGGCAAAAAATCGTTCACAGGAGTTCTTGCACAAGTACCAAATCCCCATTTCTCCAGACGGCCACGACCTTGTCCCATCTGAAAAGGTACAGCAGTGTGACGTTTACCATGCCCAAGACCTCAAATCGGCCTTATTGCGGATTTGGGGTTGCTGTGAGTATGGCACAGTATGCCCTAACTGTAGAACAGGATTTTTTGTTTGTGTAGGGAATGTTCCCGGGCACAGTCCCTTGGATCCACAGACAGGCACAGACAGGGAGTATGAAACGAGTGTTGATTGTTGGCCGTCCAGATAATGGATCTGCAGGGTCGACAGCTCGATTTGATAGATCACCGGCTTCGCATCTCAACTTATCCTGCTGCTGTTCGCATGTCACCGCCTTCCCTCTCTCTCTCTGTTTTTTCTCTTCTCTTCTCTCTCTCTCTCTCTCTCTCTCTCTCTCTCTCTCTCTCTCTCTCTCTCTCTCTCTCTCTCTCTCTCCACCTTCTCCCCCCCCTTCCCCTGGGGTGTGTGTGTGTGTGTGTTTGTTTTTGTCTGTCTGTCTGTCTGTCTCTCTCTCTCGCACAGACGGATGAGAGAGAGAGTGAGAGGGGGAGGGTGGAAGGTGGACAGAGAGAGACAGAGAGAAAAACACAGAGACACAGATTTTTTTTGAGAAAACTAGGGCGCTGTCAGGGTTAGAGTTTGAAATACGTTTCAAACTGCCGTTGTGGGGTCCAAGCCCCTCTGAAGTTTACACTGCAGTCCAGACTCTTCCGTCGCGTGCCTGTCACAGGGCAGAGTTTGTAACTGCAGTCTAGTCATCCACGTCGGAGGGCCAGGCCGTTTTCCAAAAAAAAAAAGAAGAAACAAGAAGAAAAAAAGAAAAACTCGTGGCGCTGTATCTTTCCATGATCTAGCGGAAGATTCACTCTTAGTTTCCACGATCNCTAGCGGAAGATTCACTCTTAGTTTCCACGATCGAAATGTGCAAAACGAGAGTGAATCTTGGCTAGAACAGGGAAAGATACAGCGCCATGATTTCATTTTTTTTTGTGCAACGGGGATACAGGGGCCCAACGAGATACACGGGCCAGGCCGTTTTCCAAAAAAAAAAAGAAGAAACAAGAAGAAAAAAAGAAAAGCTGCGTTGTATCTTTCCATGTTCTAAAAGAAGATTCACTCTCAGTTTCCACGATGGAAATGTGCAAAACGAGAGTGAATCTTCCCTAGAACATGGAAAGATACAGCGCCATTCCTTTTTTTTTGGCGACGGGAATACGGGGGCCCAGCGGGATACACGGGCTGACAACAACGCAGAGGCCCTAGAGGATACACGTGCTGAAAACAACACAGTTTCTTTTCTTTTTCTTTTTTTTCTTTTTTTTGTTTTTCCTTATCAGATTTCCCTACCTATGCGTGTCATCCTTGGGGCCTCGACGCGTTGTAATTTTCCATGTTTTAGCGGAAGATTCACTCTCGTTTTGCACTTTTTTTTTTTTTTTTTTTTTCCATTTGTTTTTTTTCCATATCTCAGCACCGTCGCGTGGCTGCCCACTGCCGCGATGCCTCCGCCACAGCCTAGGTAAAAAAAAGAAAGAGAGAGTGCATCTCGTCGCGTGGGTGGGCCACGGCCGCGATGCCTCGGCAACGGCCGATATATTTTAAAAAAAAAAAAAAAGTCGGACTGGACTGCATTCACAAACTCGGCCTTGCGACTGTTGTGCATGCAGTCGAAACTTGGGACCGGACTGGACTCCAAAATGGCAGTTCGAAATGCAATTACAAACTGCTTTCGTGACTGGGCTCAGTTACCCCTTTATTTTTTTTATTTTTTATTTTTTTTTGAGAGAGAGAGAGAGAGAGAGAGAGAGAGAGAGAGAGAGAGAGAGAGAGATTGCATTTATGAGCTTGAAACTGCACATTTACGTTTTCCCCTTGGCGTGTGATCCCATTCACTCGTTCTGTTGTCAGGTGGACTGCGAGACGGAGGGGCTGAGCATCGCAGGTGTCATCGTTGATGA